AGTGTATGGCCTCATTGTCAATCCCTTTAGGTACAAATGTCTCTAGTTTCTCATTTTTTATGGCTTCATAGTACTGCATTTTACAAGAAAAAAAAAACACATCTTCTTTATCCAGGCAACAGTTGATGGGCATTTGGGCTCTTTCCAAGATTTAGCTATTACAAACATTGCTGCTCTCAACATTGGTGTGCATAAATCACTATGTATGATGCTTTTGATTCTTTTAGGAAGATACCAAGCAGGAGAGTAGCTGGATCAAATGGGACATCTAATCCTAGTTTTTAAAGGTATCTCCATACTGATTTTCATAGAAGTTGGAACAGTACACTCCTGCCAACAGTGGAGAAGGATTCTTTTCCCCCAACACCCCTGTGAGCATTTGTTTTTGGTTGATTTCTTGATGGCAGCCTTTATTTCTGGAGTGAGGTGGAATCTCAGCATTATTTTCATTGCAACTTTCAAATGACCAGTGATGTTGAACATTTTTTCATGTGTTTACATGCTGTTACTATTTCTTTATCTGAGAAATATTTATTCATTTCAGATGCTTATTTATGGTTTGGGTCTTTAAATGTGGGAGATCTGATTTTTTTCAAATACATTATATATTATAGACAGTAGACCTTTGTCAGAGGAATGGCTGGTAAAAATTTTTTCCCACATTGTGGGTTGTCTTTTCATGCTGTTGGTGGGTTCTCTTGCTGTGCAGAAGCTTTGTAATAAGAAGAGATCCCACTTGTTGATTCTTTGTGCTAGTTCATGGGCAACTAAGGTTTTGTTCATAAAATCTTTTCCTATGGCAATGTCTTCAAGAGTTCTACCTAACCTCTCTTCTTGCCAGTTTAGTGTTTCTGTTTGGATCTGTAATCCATTGTGATTTTAGTTTAGTGCATGGTGAGAGATATAGGCCTAGTTTTAATCTTTGGCAAGTTGAAACCCAATTTTTCCAGCACTATTTATTAAAGAGGCTATCTTTCCTCCAGTGAGTGTATTTGGCTCCTTTATTCAAAGATGAAGTGGCTAAGTGTGTCTGATGTTGTTTCTGCATCTTCTAATCTGTTCCATTGATCCTTGGGTCTGCTTCTTTGCCAGTACCATACTGTTTTATCACAGTAACTTTGTAGTATAGTTTAAAATTGGGACTTGTAATACTCACTACCTTGTCTTTGTTGCTGAGAATTGCTTTTGGTATTCTAGGTCTCTTCTTGTTCCAAATGAATTTTTGGATTGCTTTTTCAAGATCCATGGAGTATGCTGCTGTAATTTCAATTAAGATTGCATTGAATCGACACAGCAGTGTAGGAAGTATGGCCATTTTTACTATATTAGTTCTTTCTAGAAGAGATCAAGGGACGTCTTTCCATTTTCTGATATTCTAGTTGCTTTTTTAAAAGTGCTATAGTTTTCAGAGTAGAGGTTTTATATTTCTTTCATTGATTCCTATTTCATTTTTTTGGATGCTATTGTGAAGAGATTTCTTTCTGCATTTCCTTTTTCAGTGAGTCTGTTGTTTGTGTACAGGGAAGCTATTTATTTTTGTGTGTTGACCTTGTATCCAGATACTGTGCTGAATTTGGTTATTAAGTCTAGAGGACTTTTGGTGAAGTTCTTAGGGTCTTCTATATAGAGTATCATGATGTCTACAAATACTGACAATGTTACTGTTTTGTTTCCTATCATTATTTATTTTATTTCTTTCTCTTCTCTAATTTCTATGCCTAATGTCCTGAAACTATATTGAATAGGAGTGGTGACAGTGGACATTCTTGACTTGGGGAAGGATTTCAGTTTTTGAAAATTTAGTATGATTTTTGGCTGTAGGTTTTTTATAGATAGATTTTATCAGGTTGAGGTAGAGACCGTCTATTCCAATTTTTTGTAGGGTTTTTATCATGAATCATGTTGTATATTGTAAAAGGCTTTTTCTGCTTTTAATGAGATAATCATATGGTTTTCATTCTTGGCTCTGTTAATATAGTTTATTACATTTATTGATTTCCATATATTGAGCCATCCCCGCATCCCTGGAATGAATCCCACTTGTTCAGGGTGTACGATCCTCTTTATGATCTTTTTCATTATATTTTCTAGTATGATATTAAGGAGTTTTGCATTTATATTTGTTAGTGAGATTGGCCTATAGTTTTCTTTTTTGGTTGGGTCTTTTTCTGCTTTAGAGATCAAGGTGATGCTAGCTTCCAGGAATGACTTTGGGGGTATTGCTTCCCTTTCTATTTCATTGAAGATTTTAAACATTAGTAGCAATTATTCTTCACTAAATGTCTTGTAGAATACAGCAGAAAAGTGATCAGGGCCTTGGATTTTCTTAGTTGGTAAGATTTTAATTACAATTTCAATTTCATTGATTCATATTTGATTGTTAAGAATTTTTAGTTCAACTTTGGTTATTCATGAATATGTAAGAATCTGTCCATCTCTTCTATGTTTTCCATCTTATTGGCATATAGGTTCTCAAAATAGGTATTGGTGATCCTATAAATGTCTGCTGGCTACATTGTAATTTCACCCTTTTCATTCCTAATTGCTTGGATTTCATTCTTTTCTTTCTGTTTTTAATAATGTTGGCTAAGGATTTGTGAATTTTGTTTATTCTTTCAAAGCACCAACTCTTTTCTTCTTTGGTATTTTGTATCATTCTCAGTCTCCATTACATTGATTTCTTCTCTGATATTTATAATTTCCTCCCTTGTATGAGCTTTGGCTTTCTCCTGTTCTTTTTTTTTCCCTAAAGAGTTTGAGTCTCAGCATCAGGTTGTTTATTTAAGCTCACTCTGTTTTCCTAATATGAGTATTCAATGCTATGAATTTCCCTCTTAAGACTGCTTTCATTGTGCCCCATAGGTTCCAATATGTTGCATTGGCATTTTTATTTAATTGTAGAAACTGTCTGATTTGTTCTTTAACTTTTTTTGTGACCCATTGGTTATTCACACATGTGTTATTAAATTGCCATGTGTTTATAAAATTCTTGTCATTACTTTTGCTATTGAGCTGTAATTTCATTACATTACAGTCTGATAACATTCAGGGAATAACTTCACTAACTTTGCACTTATTTAAAACATTTTCTTTGAGCAAGTATATGGTCTATTTTGGACCCATGTGCAGCTGAAATTAAGGTGTATTCTTATTTTGTGGAGTGGAACACTCTGTATACATCTGTTAAGTTCATTTGTTCAAGGGTTTGATTGAGTTCTAGTATTTTGTTGTTTATTTTTGTCTAGTTGTTCTATTTGTGACAGTGGAGTATGGAGCTCACCTACTAATATTGTATTTGTGTTTATTTTTCATGTCTGTTAGTATTTGTTTTATATAATTGGAGGCACTAATATTTTGAGCATATATACTTATGATTGTCATCACTTCCTCTTTGATTGTTCCCTTTACAAGGATGTAGTGTCCTTCTTTGGCAATCCTGTGCACTGCAGTGTCAAGTATGAAAACGTCGAGTACTATGAAACACTTTTGATTTTTTTACAAATTTATGTACAATAGCCCCATTCTATCTCAGTAAGTTATCTAGTAAATTGGGTTAATTATTTTCTCATATCACAATATGATCACTTGATAAAAATGCAAAAAGAAAAGAATAGAAAGTAATGTAAATATTCTAAGATCACGATACACAGCCTATTTATAAGCATTATTCTGTAATTAGTTTTGTTATCAAAAATTCTTTTCCATAGAACTGTTTTATATTTTCTTTATTAGTATCTACTTGCATTTCATTAAACTAATTTTTTTAAAAATACAAAAAAAGGAAACAATGTAAATACACCTGGGTGTTATCTTGCTCTATAAAATGGAAACAGTGACTATCTACCTTTTTAATGTTATGGTAAATTATTTTTAAGAATATTTTTAAATTGCATAGACTTGTAGCGTTCAGTTTCTCTTATGAATTCAGAATATGCCAAAAAATATATACACACTTCAGCAGTTTGCCATATTAATAAATATCTGGAAGCTAATGACCACCACTTTGAGCACCATTTGTAATGGTAGACACCAAAGGTAACTTGTATTTATCTCGTGATGTCTCAATAAATTTAATTAAAATATTTATATAAGTTTTTCTTTACTGATGTATATATATTTGGGCTGATTCTGTATATTTACTTGTAGATATTTTAAAATATCAAGATACTCTAGCCTTCAACCAAATCTAATGCTTTCAGAATATCTTCATGTAGATTTCCTGGTGGTCCTTTCCTATAACAGAATTGACAAAAACAGTCCTCGAACATATTCTGATATTTAGAAAATGAACCACTACTATCATCTACAGATAAGGCCTATACCACAGTACCCATATTTTAAAAATAAACATTTAGTAATATGTGCCTCAAAACTAATATTTTAGAATAATTTAAATTGCCACCTATGAAACTTTATTTCTTGGTATCTATCCATTATTCCACTCTCCTATATATGTATTCCACTAAAGAAACACCTATCTTTCCATTTATCTATCATCTATATGTGATTGTGCACCCTTTGCAATTTTATACATTTCTTGCCTACAAAATGCCTTTAGCTTATCTATATAGTCTACAATGTTACATCCTCTAGCTCAGTGTACTATATTAACATTACAGGTGGTCCTAAGCCTCTCTGAATTGCATACCTCAAATGCTTTACCTAGTGCATAGCCTCACCCAAGGCAGGAACATCATTTAGTGAGTTTATTATTATAATTCTTTCAAATCCTTCCATTTCTCTCCATATCTCACAAATGAAAATTTCTGGTTAGTACATCAGTGGGGATAGTTATATAAATTACAACAGGTCAGGCATGTTTCATTTTACTAATAATCACCTATAGTTTTCTGAAATAAATCCACCCTAATCAAATATAAGCTATTACTGTTAATGTATTCTATCAAAAATATACTGATATATACCTTGAAATAATCCTTATATAATTATTAAGAAATATAATGCTGTGTAGGGAATAATATTTCCATTTTCCTCCACAGTTGAGACAGTGCCCTGGTTTGAAATGCAGCAAATCAACACTGAAGTCTCTATGACTGACTGGCTACCATGTACAGGGTGTGTGTACATCCCGCCCCTCTTGGTGCTCTTGCTGCTTAAGAGACAGTGGGAAAATTTCATCTATCTCCAAAGCCTGTGTAGCATATAAGGAATATTTGGAATTTAATAAAATGTTGTCATAGCATCATTTCTTCAAATAAATATTTCATTGTTATAGAAATAGTGAGTTATTGATGAAAATAAATTTCAAGAGCCAGTGCAGCCTAACATTATGTGACTCCCAGGTGTGGAGCATCTCAAGCATAAAGGTTACTTGTCCTTCTGCCCATTTTAAAAATGCTTTGAAATGCACAAAAATCACATAACCCAGAAGAATAGTCTTTAAATATCATTTTATGACATACATCTATGAGATATTTGAAATTCACACTTTGATTGCCTATTCATATAAGAGTGATATTTATTGATATGCCTGTGATACATAACAATTACATTCATCAGGAGAACTGGTACATATACAAATGACACCTTTATTTATTTTTACTTCCTTTTCCCCTCTCAGTCCTCTCCTATCTTGTTATCCCCAAATCCTGTTTCCCACTGCACAAATCCTACCCACTTTCTCTTAGCACTTACTCTTTTTTTTATGCCCTAAAATACCTCTAGTACAAGTTTGAATATTTGGAGAATGTAAATGTTGTTCAGTAACATGTTAGGGCTCTTCTCCTCATGATGGAGACATAAGCAAGAGCTGTTATTTCTTATTTCTTGTTCTATTGGACACTCCTTAAAAAGATAGAAGTGCATACTGGAAATCATCAAGTGTGTAGAAATAGCATGGACAACAGTCAATTTTTGTGGAAAAAAAGGTAAGATACACCCAGCACTTAACAGAAGGTTTTATTTTTGATACCTCCTCTATGGCAAATATGGCTAAGGTGTGGAGAATCAGAAATCAAAGTTAATCATTTGTCTACAAATTTATACCCTATATTATGTAAGAAAAAAATTAAATGTCCTATTACAGAAATAGGAAAATATTTTCTTGAAGTATAGAATATTTTAGTTGAATACAAAGAAAAGTAGCATTATGACTAATAGTAATTCTATCTAGCTCATATTTTATCCCTATTGTTTACATTTATTATATATTAAACACATGGGAAGCACTGAGCATCTGTTTATTTCTTGTTCAATTCAGTTGTATAAGCTAGAGATAAATTCATGACAACTCTGTGTCTTAGAGACGCTAAAACTGTCACGGGTCATAGAAATCATGAGGCCATAATATTAAGGAAAATAAATCCAACAAATGAGCTTAAATATCACATAGTTTCTCTTATATGCAAAGCCAAATTATAAATAAAGGCCAAAACAGGAAATAGAGGAAGGGGGGAGAGGGGAAAGGAAGGGGATAAAATAGTAATTGAGATGTGTTATATGCATGTATGAACTCCACACAAGGAATGCAATCATTATATACTGGAAACAAGACTTTAAAAAAGATTAATTATCAGTCCCAGAATATAATGCACTAACCTTCTTCACTGCTTCCCAGCCATGAGAAAAATTTAAACCAATGTCTACAGTATAAACCACAGGCACATCTGAAGTACATTTTTAAACTTGCAAATTACCTCAGCAGAAATGAAATTAATATTTGATGGTACATTTCCTTTTTGGTTTGAGTGGGCAGATCAAAAACATTTTAGAAGATGTGGATCCTGGCGAGTATACACTAAACAGTGGCAAGATGAAAATGTCTGCTGAATTATCACATAGCTGCTCTTTCTGTGATCATGGACTGTGATCCGCATCTCTCCTTCCTATGCAGAGTAAAGCAGGCAGCACACACTGCTTTCTTCTGAGATCAACCAGGAACCCCCAAAGAAGAGTACGGGGAGCACAGAGGGTCTTCCTAGAGTGACAGGGAAGTGAAGGGGCTGTGAGGAGAACAGCTTCCCAGAACTGCCCTGGGAGGACGTCGTGTGTGTTCAGACAGACCCGTCCAACTGTCTCTTCACTCTTTTTACCCAATAACCTGATTATAGTCACACATAAGAAAAGCTCAGCCCATTTTTTGGAAAACAGTGGGCATTTTTGATTGGTGGATGGCTGTATATATGAATGAAATAAACTTAAACAAGTAATGGAACACGTAGCTCAAAGCCAGGAATCTGAGATTCCCTCAAATATAGTTCAAGATATTGTGCTTACTCTCATGCTCCTTTTTTTATCTTCATCCCCTTTATAATCCTCTGGAATAGAAAGAAACAGTGCAGAGGGGCCCAGTTTAAGCTTTTGTGGGTGAGATGTCCATGAAGTGCAACACATGTAGAAGGAAAGTAAAAGGGTGTGAGCTATCTGGGGCCCTTAACCCAACACAGGTCATAAACTTCACACTCTGCATAGCTGAAAGTTTTTCTTTTAGTATTCCTTCATCAGGTTACCAAAACTCTCCTATTAGTCCTGATAAAGGGGAAAACCTTTCTAATAGTCCTTTCTCCCTCAACACTTTCTTGGATAAAGCCGCTTCTGTGCTTGGTCATGGCCAGTGGATGCAGATCTAAAGAACTCTGCTGCCCTAGACCCTTACCCTCCATCAGACTTACAATAAACACTGTGTCTGATAGCAACTTCCTAATGTGGACAAGCACAGGAGGAGGAAACACTGGCTTAGAGCCCAATGGACCAGACCCGCCAAACTGAAGGGCTGGAGATAAATCCTTATTATTGACTATTATATAGCCTTGGAGACTCTGTGCACAGAGCTCATAATTAAACAAATTGGCCCACTTTGTCCTTATGTCTAAGAACTCCCTAATATTACTGGAAGAAAAAGAAAAGGTAATGAATATGCACCAAACTTTTGTGAGTCACTCGTCTAATCAATGGGAAATTCTGAGTACAATTTACTGGTTTTCTTTACAATTTCTTTACAATTTACTTGTTTACTGGGTACAATTTACTGGTTTTCATTTTATCTTTCTTATTAGGACCCATCATATATGTATGTATATATATATATATATATATATATTTCAATGCAGATCTGAAGCAATTCTCCTTCCTTATACCCTTCTAGGACTCTAGCTCCTTCCTCAGCCTTATTATGAACACTGTCTGATTGCCATCAAACTGAAGGGATATATATATATATATATATATATATATATATACACACATACATATATATATATATATACACACATACATACATATATATATACACATATATGTATATACACACAGATATATACATATATATGGTCATATATATATATATATATATATAGTGCCACTTACTTCCTTACAGAATATAGAATTATAAAATCCTAATTATAAAATAAAATATTGTCAATGAGACAAGACAGCAGATACAGGAAACTAAAGAGAGACTAAGACCCTCAAAATTATTTTCCTTCTGTGGTAGAGCCTAGTATGTAGCTCTGCTACACTAAACTGGGTTCATTCACAGCTCCTTCCCACCACCACCTGCAGGACAAGGACTGGTAAGGGCCTGAGAAAGCGGCCTGGGGTCTTATCTCTGTTACATTCAGTATCTGATGCGATACATCCATGAGGCAAGGCAGGTGGGGCTGTTTCTTACTAGTCAACATTTACAGGGAAGAAAATGGGCCTGGGCCTTGCCTAATACCAGTAAACAAAAGACATAGCTGGACTGAGATTGCCTTCTTTCTGGAGTTGCGGGCATCTCCACTGGGAACTGGGCTTAGATGCTTCTCTAACATCCCTCCACTGGGCCTGAAGTATCATTGCATGATGCACTTTTTAATTGCTACTATGTTCTTATGTGTTTAAGCCATGTTGCACATATATATACATATATATATATATGTATGTATATGACCATTTATTACATGAATTACTAGTGGTATCAATTATGTTCACCCTGTTCTGCAACCATCTCAATCATACATTTCCAGAAAGATTTCCTCTTCCCAAACTAAAACCTAGTACTGATTTTCAAATTCCACATTCTTCCCTTCTCCTAACCTTGATAAAAACCATTCCACTTTCAAACATGATGGGAGGTTAAAGCCTAAAATCTCCAACAATGAGTACCCGATAGATAATGTAGTTTTCACCCTTCATTCCAAATGGATGCCACAGTTTCTGAGAGTAGATTGTTCTGCTGTGGAGCCTCCTCAGACCAATTTAAGTCCTGTTCCTCAGGCCCCAGATGAAGATTTAGCATAGGGTTGAGTAGTGGAACAGTCCACAATGAACAAGCTGCATTTTTGAATTTTCTGTGAGTTACCTGAGATGGAATGCTGAGATGTGACAAAATAGGTCCTGTATTGCTTCAAAAATGTTTGAAAAAGAAAACAAAGTGAAGAAAATGAAACAAGTATATGGATACATAGCAGTCTCTGTGTGTTTTGAATTCATGTTTTGAGAAGAAAATATTTCCTCCTGACATCCATATACTTTAGCAACACCTCTCTGGTGTGATAAGATTAATCTTATCAAATTTCTTTCAATATTGAATTCTCTGTCATTCACACCATTCTATACAAATATGCTTGAAAGTCACTAAACTGAAAAAGATCAGGATCAATACATATAAGTGTTACATTATCACAGTAAAACAAAGCCAACACTTTTAAGAGAAATGAGAGAGGAATAGATCTTCCCATTTAAGAGGAATATTCTTAGTAAAGGAAGTTAAGACAGTAAAATTTACCTTCTCTTTATTCCAGCACATTAGGACAGATTAAATTTAGAGTAATTAAAACACTTTGTAACAACTAAGGAAGCATTATCTGAACACAATCAAAACTGTAGTTCATATTTTTAAAATACTGTATTGTCCTTTTTCCTGTATGCTACAGTGGCCTACGAATAGCGTTTCATCATTTTTTTCTGATTACAAATTTTATATATGGTTGCAAATTTTAGCACTAGGAAAATATCAAAACTGCCACTTTTATCCCCAACCTTCTTATGCCTATTTATGAGATTTTTACATCAATCCTTTCTGAAATATAGATTAAAATTATTTTCCTTCAGCTACTGGAAGAAAACACTGATTAGTCAGCTCTCCAATATGATTCAATAAGGGAAAAGAAAAAAGAAAAAAAAAGTAAAATTAAGGGAAACACCTGTGCTGTT